CCTGACATCAAGGCGATGCCATGATCTCTCACTTCCTCTGGAAAGAACTGGACAAAAGAACTGGACAATCTCCTGAACCCTATGAAAGTGGGAATTAATCTTGAGCATGAAGGCTGGGTCGAGCCTTAGGACAACCCTGTTATTCTGGAAGATGCAGAGATCCACCCTAGCCGACAGTGCGTTGGACACCCTCCTGGCATAGGTGATGGCTACACATAACACTACCTTGAGGGTAAACAGTTAAAGACTCACCTCCCTCAGCGGCTCGAAGAGTGCTTCCAGGAGTGCCTGGAGCACTGTGGGCAGATCCCAAGAGGGAAAATGGTTGGTTGCTCCTCTGAGGAACTGCTTAATGATGTGAAGTTGGGACAAGGATTGTGTACACACTCACCCCAGGACGGTGGTCAGGGCTGAGACCTGCCTTCTGAGGGTGCTAGGGGCCAGGCCTTTCTCCAGGCCATTCTGGCGGAAATCCAGTACCTGCGGGACTGTGGCAGATGCGGTTCTACCTGAGCAGACTGGCACCAGGACACGAAGGAGACCCAGGTCGTGTCGTAGATGCGAGTGGTGATCTCCTCCTGGCAGCTTCGATCGTCCCGATGACCTTGGCGGAAATCTGGGCCTCCCTTAATTGTTCCCGCTCAATTGCCAGACGGTCAGTTGGAGCCAGTCTGGGTCTGGGTGGACCAGACTCCCCTGGAGAAGAGACACCTCTCCCCGAGGGATCTTCCAATGGGGAGCGGTTGACATTTATATCAGATCTGCGAGCCATGGACGTCGGGGCCAGTAGGGAGCCACCAGAACTATCTCCGCCCTCTCTAGTACCAGTTTCCTGAGCACCCGGGAAGGAGAGTGAGGGGAGGGAAGGCATAGAGAAGTCCTGATGGCCAACTGCAGTGCAGGGAGTCGTTGTCCATCACTCCCTGCGTCGGAAACCGCAACATGAACCTCGGAAGCTGGGCGTTTGATGGGGAGGCAAAGAGATCCACTGCCGGGCGGCCAAATCTCTGGAAGATCTGGTCAAAGACGCTGGGGTGAAGTTGCCACTCTCTGTGGTCCACTGTCTGTCTGCTGAGCCAGTCCGCCTGATGATTCTCCACCCTGGAGATGTGTTCTGCTCGGATTGATAGGAAGTTCCGCTCCGCCCAGTTCCCCAATCTCAACGCCTCGTTGCGAAGTGCCCTGGAGTGGGTGCTTCCCTGCTTGTTCACATGTGCCTTGGCCGCCACATTGTCCATCAGTACTAGGACGTGCTTCCCAGCTACCGTTGCCTTGAAACGTTGGAGAGCCAGGTGGATCGCTCTGAGCTCCAATTAGTTGATGTTTTTTCAAAGGTCGGTTGGTGTCCACCATTGCTGGGCTAGCTGGGGATCCAGGTGTGCCCCATAACCGAACAGGCTTGTATCTGTCGTCAGGACAAGCCTGTCCGGCTCCCTGAACAGGGAGCCCTTGGACAGGTCTGGGGACATCCACCAGTGGAGTGACAGGAGAACCTGGGGTGTCACTATGACCTTGAATTCTGTGTTGCTCGACCCATCTCTCTGGCGTGGAAGGAGGAACCACTACAGCTCTCTGGTGTGAAGCTGGGCCCAAGGCACTATCCCGATGCAGGACATGAACTTGGCGAGAAGCTTGGAAAGAAGAGCTACGGGAAGAGATCGATGCCTGCGAATCTCTAGAATAATTTGCACAATGCTGTCCCTACGCTCCTCTGAGAGGAAAACCTCCCCCCCCCCACCGAGTCAATAATGGTTCCCAGATGCTGAAGTCTGGTGGTGGGAGACAGGTGACTTTTTTCAAAGTTGACCAAGAACCCCAGTGACCTAAGGGTGGCGATGATGAGACTTATGTCCCCTTCGGCCCGAACCGCCAAGAGTGCTAATACGAGGATGTCATCAAGGTAACAATGCAATCAGACCAGTGTGGAGCGGAGGTGGGCTAGTACCTTGGTGAATGTCCTGGGAGGGGGGAGGAATGCCAAGCCGAAGGGAAGGGCCCTGTACTGGTAATGAGTGCCCCCATATGAGAACCTGAGGAACTTACAGTGGTCTGGTGCAATCATGATGTGCAGATAAGCCTCAGTGAGGTCAATGGAGGCTAGGAAGTCCTCCTGTCTAATCCCTTCCAGGATAGACTTGAGCAAGACCATCTTGAACTTACAGTAGTCCAGCCTGGAATTAAGTAACTTAAGGTCTAGGATGGCCCTCCACACTCCAGAGCTCTTGTGGACCAAAAGAGATTAGAATAGAATCCTGATTCCTTCTCCCGCTCCTGCACCAGCTCCACCACTCTGATCTCCAGTAGATGTTGGATGGCCTTGCGCATGAAGAAGTGCTTGGCCGGGTTTTTGGAGGAGGAAAAGGCCCAGAATTTATTCGGGGGTTGTGAGCGAAACTCCAGGTGGAACCCGAACCTGACTATCTATAGCATCCATGCATCTGTAGTGATGCCAACCCAACGATCCGTGGACAAAGTAAGGCGGCCACCGATGGGGTGATTCGATCCTGAATCACTTATTTCTTCAGAAGGGGCGCCCCCCCCTCAAAAGGGACGCTTGCTAGACTGTTGGAACCTGTACCTGTCCCTAGAGAATTGTCTATCCCCCTGTCTGGGGAACACGGGCACAGAGTACCTCAGTTATTGGAAGTCCTGCTCGGGTGCTCGAAAGCTGGATCTTCTGGGGTAGGGTGCCAAGAGGTTATCTGATTGCTTAGACGTGGACAGGAAAACCTTTCGCTTGTTCTTGTCCTCGAACGAAGTCCAGGAATGGACTGAACAGCTTTCCTCCCGTGTACTCTGTGCCTGCTAAATGCCATTTTGCCCAGAACCCCACCTGCCAGTTATGCAGCCACAGTAAGCATCTGGATGCCACTGAAGAGGATAGGGCCCTGGAAGAGTACCCACACATCCAGTGTGGCGTTTCCCGAGAACTGGGTGGCCACCATCACCTTCATAATGTCCTGCAGGAGTCTAACGTTCGAAGCCGGAGTTCTGTCTCGGAGTTGTTCTAGCCATAGCAAGATGGACCTGTTGAAAAGGAGGCTGCTGTGGCAGCCCTGATTGCCCCTGGAACGTCCTGCGCATAACTAATGCCGCCTTCCTGTCCTCCGGTTTCAGGCAGTTGGAAATGTCTCCCGTCACCACTGGTGAGGAGTAGGCCACCAGGGCTTCCACTGAGGGAACCTGTAACACTTGAGCAAGGTTAGCATTAAGGTTATAGAACCTGCAATCATTGCTCCCCAGAGTGGGGAAGGTGCCAGGCTGAGCTTATTGCTACTTGAGCACCTCTAGGAACAGGTCTGCGGTAGGGATCTCCTTCTTCTCCACCTGGGGCCTATGGAAAGGACCCTTCTTGGCTTCCCCGCTCCTGCTAGGGGTGAAGTGTCCTGGCTGGCTACTTGGATGTCCAGGTCTGCTGTGGCCTTAGCCTTGCGCAGCAGGGAACTAAAGAAAGCGGGGGGGGGGGAGGAAGAGCCCCAAGATGGCTGGGGCCTTGGGAGCTTGGGCCTCTTCGTCATCAGAGAAGCCAACATCTTTAAGCTCCCCTTCCTCCGACCCTGACTCCTCGCTAGCCATGGAGGGAGAGTCTGCTCTGAGGTCTCTGGAGGTGGAAGGTCCGGGTAGGTCTAGATGACCTCGTGGTGCATCGCGAGCAGCCTTGTTTCTAGGTCCCTGAAACTGGTGCTGCATGCCCGAGGAGATGCCCTGGGCAATAGCTCTGGCTAGGACCTCCTGAAAACTCTGGGAGAGCTCTGGATAGGCTGGAGATAAGCTGGGGGGCTCTGGATCTGCACCAGGATCAGGGCCTTGCAGAGTCAGATGTTGCTTTGGCAAGCTGCTAGATTGGCATCCGAAGGGTCTCCTCACACTCCGGAGGGGTGAACTGGAGATAGGGGGATAGGGAACTATCCCCGTAGGGAGCCACATGGCGAAGCTGGAGAGCCAGGAGGATCCCTAGAGGAGATGCCCTGACTGGAGAACGGGATCTGGCTGGGCAACGGCTGATGGTATCCCTGTTTCTCCTGCCTGCTGCCCTGGTGACTCTCACCTCCTTCATAGCGTGCTCCCTCCGCGAGGACTTGGAGGTGCACTTCCTCGCCGCAGATCTGCCCCTCTCCATTGGATTGGGCCCCCACGAGATCCCCTCGCCCGCGTCTGCCTCCCTTGGGGAAACAGGCCTGACCAGTCCTCTGCTTCTCAAATTGTCCACCAATTGCAACCCTACTCACGGTTAGCCAATCTACCTTCTCTCTCTCTCTCTCTCTCTCTCTGTTGAAACCGGTCAGTAGGCTGCCTGTGAAGACTCGGCTCTCCCTCGGCTCTTTGCTCTTCAGCCACGCCGCCGATCCACGGCCCGAGTTAGACCGGCCCACCACCAGATGCTGTGGCCCTCTCTAGATTACCGGCGGAGTTCGAGCCCAATCCTCTGTTGTGTGCTGCCGATGGTCCTGGGTGCTTGCGATCTCTGCAACCAGAGACCGGATCCTGCACTCTGCAAGTGTGCCCTGGCACCCAAGAACATGTGAGCCGATTCCGACTAAGTCGCTCTGTTCCTTCCTGGATCTTGTGAGCTCCGTAGAGAAGCCAGAGACACTGTAGCCCCGCTTGTGCGCGGAGCCTGGGGCTCCCCCCCATGCCAGCAAATCGCGGCTCGGGAGCCTCTCAGCAGCGTTAATCGCTTCTGTGCACAGGCTAATTACAGAGCACATGAGAGGAGGTAAGCTTGTACGATCAAGAGAAATTAAAAAATTGAAGCAAATCTTGTACCAAGGAGAACCAAGTATTTAGCTCCTTCTGGGCCGAAGACTGAGGTTAATCTGGAGAGTCAGAGGAGGAGTAGAGGTGTGGCCTCAAGATTTACCTCAGTCTCCGGGCAGATGGGCTGTGACAATACCCACTTCAGAGACGGTTTCTGGGTCTCCTCCTTTTGCCTTTGACCCTGCACCTATGTGTATGTATGTGTACATGTTTACATATGTGTTGGAAAATAATGTCTTTACCTTTCTGCAGCCATGGTCCTCCTCTTTCCCCTGACTTACTCGACCTCGTTTCTTACAGACAGAAGGCAATGTCTGATTGCAAGGACTGTCGTTCCATCTTCCTTCCTGGAAGGAAGCACAGAAATTTCAACTTAGTAATAGCTACTTTCACAGTTGGGTCCAGTTTCTAAATATTCTAAACATTAATATTGTATCTTACCAGCTTCCTGGGTCAACTATATATTTACAATTTAAACAGTTTTGCAAACCCTTTATTTTATAAAAATTTCTAATCTAATACTAGCTTAATCTTCATAATATCTTTTGCCTTTTGTATGAGACTATCCATTTGTATTTTTGTCCAAAATGCCTTTTGCAATGCTGATCTGTTTAGCACATGCCTGGGCATATTTCTGCAATAGTTGTTTCAGAAATCAGTTTTTAAAACAAGTAAACCAACTTCTATATACAATCTCCCAGATATTATAAACCAAAATGTTTGCAATCTAAAGAAATGCTATAGGCCAGTGGTCTCCAACCTTGGCAACTTTAAGACCTGTGGACTTCAACTCCCAGAGTTCCTCAGCCAGCAAAGCTGGCTGAGGAACTCTGGGAGTTGAAGTCCACAAGTCTTAAAGTTGCCAAGGTTGGAGACCACTGCTATAGGCAATAAGTATATGGCAGTTTTAAATGTTTTAAAAGGGTTATTTAATCCTGTTATACAGCAAATAAGTAAATGTTTGAAGTTTATCAATATATCTGGATCAGTGGTGGGTTGCCAATACTTTTACTACTGGTTTGGGCATGCTTGCGCATGGGCTCACAACACTTCTGCACAGAACCTTCTGCACATGTGAGCGGAGCCTCCCACCGCCACAACTACTGTGGGTTTAACCAGGAGCAACCCACCTCTGACCTGGATGATCTAACTATAAAAAACAAATTAGAATGGATTCCTACAAAGCTCTGTCTGCTTCAGTTGTCCGTGAAGAAAATAAATAGGTCTTAAATTACACAATTGTTTTGGGCAAAGTTGGATAAGTTATTTCCAAATTTCTTTACAATCAAATCTGTTTTAAGGGAAAAAAAGAGTTTAAAGTGCAGGTCCCTTAAGATTCCAAAATAACAAGTCATTAATGAGGAATTATAGTTATTCACCTACAAATATATGGTATTATTTTGACTTTTTGATGTATCTGATACGAAGAGTCATCTTTATGCTAAAATTATATATATATTTCTCTTATGATAGAAAGATTTCCAAAATTTTATTCATACCGGTCCCCAGATAGTCACACAATCTTCAAGGCTATCTCGGAAATTGTTGGGCTCAAAAGGATGCCAGAATGTAAACTGCACTGGTGTGCTGTCTGACCACTCAAAATTCATCTGCAGCCGAAGATCATTCAGACCAATCCAAAGTTCTTCAACATCTGGCACAACAGGAAACAAGAGAAGAGAGTTTGTACAATCCTCTTCTGCATATGTTAGTAATTGTATTTGTATTCACTATATCACACAATGCACAAGAGGCATGCTTTTCTAATTTACTTGTCCTCTCCAATGAAGAAAAATTTAGCAAAATGCTGCTAAATTCATTAAAGCTTCCATGAAAACAAGGAATTTAGAATTTGGATGTAGCACCCAGAAAAGTTGTAACTTCCTCTGCTGTGGTTTATCTTCACCTTTATTCCCAAACTACTGTAGTTCAATTTCATCATTGCTTTTATCCTCTTTACTCCTTGTTCTTTTCAGGAAGATTTTTCACAAACATACAACACAGTGGTTCATTCTAAAATTTCAGTCAATATCATAAAAAACCAACTTAGATTTTTAGAAAAAACGATTTAATCCTTGAAGGAAAGCCTCAATTGATCCAAACTGACCCAAAAATCAGCAATCAGCTAAATGAAGTGTGATTGTCAAAATGACAATTCAAGACTACATCCCAGCCAATCAACATTTTTAATTGAATCAAGATTTATTGGGAATAAGAAGTATCTATTTCTTTTTAGCTTAATTCAGTATTCTGTCAAGTCAAACTTGGTTCTTCTTAAAATGCTAAACACAATCAAATCTGGTTATTATTTGGACATGTAACTATGAGAAAATATCAGGGCTGGGCTAGCCTAGAAATCTTAGAAACATGGAAGGCAATGGCAAACAATTTCCATATTGTTGCAAAGAAAATTGTATTTATGAAATCACTGAAGTTTGATGGACGTATTACCATTTTAAAGCTACTTCCCACAGAGCAAACTAATTGGATAAGCATCTACATCTAAATCACATCTTATTTTCTGTAAACTCTATCATAGAAATTATCTACCTATTTTGCAATATGATTACAGGGAGAGAGAGATTTGGATCATCAATCTTCTACTCTTCTCTTTTTCTCTTTGACTGCCACCATGGCAATCATTTTATAAATGAGATTACTGTATAACCGCTGCTTAAGGAGAATGCTTGGGATACTAATTCAAAATTCTGAGTATACCTCAAGGTATAAGAGTTCAGAGGGCATGATAAAATCAATTATTCCTTACCTTGCTTAATTTGCTTGGTGACAAACTCCAGTTCAGAGAGGGTATGGATGCTCACCAGATCCCCTTCACTGCGCAAGCAGGTCTTTTTGGCATCTATCCAACTCTTCTTTTCACTTATCAAACGATAGCAGTTAGATTGGAATGGCTGCCAGCTGGGATCACAATCAATCTTCACTTCAGATTCTACTGGGATTATAGTACATAAATTTAAGAGAATCAGAGAACCATGGGACATTCTTGGGAGATTACAGCCAAGATCTATAACTCAGAAAACAAGAGTACTATAAACCTAGCACAGAACTTTACTTTTTGCCATGTAAACCACCCTACTAATTCTTTAATTACAAATATTAATAAAAGGATTCAAAGCCTCCATCCATAGTTTTTTTTCAAACAGAATGCACATATTTATTCTCTTCTTATTTCTTACATTGATGCCCTAAGCACAGTCTTTTGCCTGTGTATTTCCTTCTAAATCTAAACCATTCAATATCCCTCTACCAAAACCCTCAAAATAATAATATAATAAATATTAAAATTATGTAACAAATAAAAGCCTGGGGAAAAGATTTTACAGATTTTTTTAAACATTGAGAGATTAGGAAAATACAACCCAGGGCCTGAAAACAACACAAGGTCCTTTTTATGTATCAGAAAGTGAGCTTTCCTGCTGATTAAAAGAAATGGACACATTTATCATGGAAAAGACAGGACTTATCCATACAGCCCCTTGCTCCAACTTATTATGTCCTTACACAAAGACCACCATCTTGGTGCTAGCTTGCTGCTAAGCATGAGGCTTAAGCATTGCAGCAAGAAAATGGAACTTTTCATTGAAAAGCTAAAGAAGATTTCATACATGAGAGCTTCATATTGTAGAGATCAGTAATCTTCATAAGATTGGCAGCTGGCTGGGCTCCTAACTGCTCTTTGCAAAATCCACCTGTCTGTTTAGGCTGCTAGAAAAAATACAACCATGCACTGCAAGCTTTCTGCCTATAGCTCAGGAGAGCATCAATCTCATGGAGAACTTCTCTAAGATCTATAGGTAAGCTTGATATAACTTTCGTTTATGGTTTACACGGTTTTTTAATGAACTCCTATAAAACAATAGATGGAAGATGGTAGGGACTGGCAATTGCTGGAACCACAAAGTGAATACACCTATAAGAAGCTGCTATTCCAAAGTGCAATGCTTGTCCAGTGCTCTGGCTCAAAAGCAAAACTTTTAATTTCAGGAAACCATAGCAATTGGCTCAGAATCATAACTCTGGAAAGAAATTTAAGAGGTCATCCAATCTGTATTCAGGGCCCAATTTAGTATCTTTAGCTATCTAGCCCTCTCTTTGAACACCAATGTGAAAAATCAAGCCTCAGGCCAGGAAATAATCTGGCAGCAAATACAGCTGAGAAGAATCTTGTGAAAAGAGCTGGGAACCCAGCACTGAATTTATTTCTTCACAGGCTGGCAGGGGCTGATTTTGTATGCAGAATAGGTTTACAAAAGGCACTTTGCCTGGGTGGGATGACAGGGTTCTCCTTAGTAAATGGTGATTGTTGATTTGTTGGTTTTATTTCTCCTCTGCTCCTGCAACAGAAGGAGGTATCTGCCACCCTTGTTATGAGGATAGGAACTCTACTGGCATTTATTCCAAGGCATAGTAAGAGGAATTTGTGGCTGCTACCTGAAAATCCAGTGAAAATCAAAGCGCATTCAACAAACCTACCCCTTCAATGGGAATGCAAATCTGTCTAAAAAGAGGTTACCTCAATCCCTCAGATCACTTCTTTATTTACTTATAGCATCTCCAGTTTATCTGTACTTATTTTCAATTTCTGCCTTTTGGTAAGATCATTTATTGAACTTGGATAGCATTCAAGAGTACAAATTCTTCTGCTGAATTGGACAAGTAAGGAGCAATTAAACTGGGCATCTCAGCATACTGAAAATATCCCACTCCAAAAGGATTACTTGGTCCTTTTGGAGTGGGATATTTGACTTAACTCTTTTCGATGCCTTTCTTCAGTAGATCCCTATTGCAGCCTCTTGCAAGCTAGAGTAGAATATATTTTTCTGGCAAAGAGGCACTGACCTCTAGCTGGCCTTATTTTGGCCAGCTAGACACATAGCTTGTGGACTCATTTAATCCTGTCACACAAAAATCCTACGATAATATATAATACATTTCCGCATTTACCATACAATTTCTCCAGTACCAAGACCCTGTGTGAGATTTTTTGCAAAGATCCATAGACATTTTATATTCTGCAGTATTATTATTGTTTATTTTTAAACTAAAATATTCAAATTGTTTGGGTTTTTTGCATTTTCCAAATTACGCACCTGTAAAGTATGTATCAGAAGTGGCATTTGGTTTCTTCTTACAGATATACGGCAAAGCCATGCTGCAATCCCGATTCTGCCATCCTCCTGAGGACTCTGTCCGTATAACCCCACAATTTTCTTCATTGGGATTATCAGGTTGATCTATAAGAGAAGAAGAAACCCTACCACTGCAACAACCAATCTTCAAAGAAAAAAAAATCATAATCCAAGAATGTTTTCTACATTAAGGATTCATCTTGGATCGACTCTGAATTTCAAGGATTGACAAGGCATTCTTTTTGGATTTTGTTATCAGAGATGAAAAAAATATGCATTGTTCTGATGAAGATGAGGCTGCATATGGGAAGTTAAAGCAATTTCTGTCCAATGCTGTAAAATAACTGGATAAACCAATCACAGAAAAGTAAAGATTTCTATATCCTCAAAAATATCATCTTCGTTTCAAAATGTAATACTAAGTTTTAAGATTAGCCACCCTTATTTCAAAGTTTCCATTCCTTGCAAAGGATGGATTTTAAAAAAATGTATTATTATTATTATTATTATTATCATATTATTTTAAATTGTACATTAAAGCCAAGCAGTACATCTGTAGGGAAAAAAGGACTGTTTGACCCAATGTTTGCTAACAATATCACATTTGGGATGTAAAAATTCAAATATGTTCCTTTCACTACCATCTAGGGGCTATTCAAATTACTGCATCCCAGATATGGCAGCCCTACTTCGACTTAATGACATATACTTCTATCATGCTAAAAGTATGTGTCATAAGTCAAAGTAGACTGCTATATCTGGGATGCAGTAATTTGAATAGCCCCTAGATGGTAGTGAAAGAAACATATTTGAATTTTTACAGTCCAATGTGATATCTTGTATTATCCTAAATAACGTTTTATACAATAAGAATCTATACAGTTAGTAAGCATGATTTATTTATACCCTAATTATATAAAATATATGGGGTTTTTTTATTTGTATAATCTCATTCAGTTTTCAGTCTCTGTGTCCAACTTACCATTTTCCCAATTGAGAAACTTCAAGGGGGAATTGTCAGACCACTGCCAGCCGCCGTTGAGGTCCAAATCATTAAGCCCAATCCAGAGTGTGGAACCATATCCTGTCAGCAGTCCTGGTAGAGTCAGAGATAGATAGAAAGTCACAGGAGCAGATCCTCTACCATAAATCATACTAAGCCATAATGGCACCTAACAACATACTTTTCTCCACAGTCCTGTTAAACCTTGGTGATCGTCAGCTATCCATTACACACCAAGCACAAACTAGTCTTCTCTGAATCTCTTCTCTTCTGAGCTATTTGCAGCAGACAGCTTTCTTTTACAATATTCATATTGCATATTCCAATATTTTATATAGGTAGAGGAGTGTGTGTGTGTGTGTGTGTATACACCATGTTTTCCCCAGAATAAGACAAAAATGAGGTGCAGGTGGTTACCTCATGGCTCCTGTTGTGTTGCATGTTACTGGGCCTGCCACTCTTTTTGCGGTGGCCATTAGCATGATAGAAGGACAGAAGGAATGCGGTGGCTAGGGTTGTGAGAACGGCTGTTAGGTAAGGGTGTGGAGTGTATGGGGCATGTCCCCTCCCCCCCTCCGGCCTTACCTCCTCACTTCATGTTTTTTGTGCAGCAACTAACCAGAGGAAATGGCAGGGACCAGCTGCGCATGCGTTTAAGTATTTTCCTGGGAGGGCTTATTTTTGGGGGAGGGCTTATTTTACTGCATGCGCTCAAAAGCCCGATTGCCTTATTATCCGGGAAGGTCTTATTGTGAAGGAAACAGGATATGTATATATGAATGTATATATGTATATGTAATTGTGTGTGTGTGTGTGTGTGTGTATTGTGTCACAACCCCTGGTATGCCCAAATATGGGAAGGAGCATACTGCTTCCCTTTTCTGTCTAGGTACTAGGAAGGAAGAGAAGAAGAACAGAAGAATAGTAATACAGTCTTAGTAGATAATTTGACAGTGTTGTGAGGATTAGTTATTTAGAAGAGGGACGGCATTTGAAAAAAAAAAACTGCCCTTGTGTCTCGTTGTCTTGGTGTGCAGTGCCCTATAGCATCGTTTTGAGGGCAGGGGTTGAAACAATTTATGTCCAGGATGTGAGGGGTCAGTAGATATTTTCACAGCCCTCTTTTTGACTTGTGCAGTAAACAGGTTATATTATTTTATTAGCTGATTACTCAATAAACCAGGGTTAAGCAAAGCACACCTTGATCCCTTTGATGTACAGAGTGACCACAGAGTAGCTAGAAGCTGCACTGTCTTGATTTGAAACTTCCTGGAGAGCCTATGAGTGGTTTACTACCGATGTATCACTTCCGAAGAGAGGAGAGAAAAGCTCTCCGCTGCCATCACCAGC